CATATATTTTATTAATTAAATATATTAAGGTCACAATTTCATATAATTTAATCACAAATTCCATATAATTGGTCACAAATAATAAATTTTATGTTACAAATTATTTTACGTTCACAATTCAAAAATTTTATAGGTCACAATTTGTTCATCGGTCATAAATAAAAAAAAAATTATACGTCACAACTTATTCACCTGTCACAAATCACAAATATTATAAGTCACAACTTAGTAGACAATCACAAACCATCAAATTATCGGTCACAAATTTAAAAAAATTTAGGTCACACATTATTTATTAGTCATAATTTATATTTTTCATTGGTGAATTTCATACATCAAATTGCACATTTGGACTCTTTACCAAATGTTATCAGTGTTCACAGCATAAAGCTTGAATATAAAAGAGTTTAGACATTAATATACATATGAAAGTGTGTAAAAAGAGTGGAAAAACTTGTAACACATATTTTTTTTCTTTTTGCTAATGTTTCTTGTAAGAGTTTCTTTAGCTGTGTGTCCAATTTGCAGTCTTTAAGAACTGTAATTCCCTTTGTTTTTATGGGATTCCATTTAATATATATGGAGCGTGTAGCAAGTTATAACTTTTTCCTTTGTTGCATCATCGACGCATATCTATAATATATTAAATATTGCATCAAGTGAGAATCATTTTTTGAACGATTTTAACTCTTCTACTATTCAATTATTTCAATAATATGTTACCTCTAATAAATGCTACAAAATCTTGTCATATATGAATTCGTGTTATTAATTCTCAATTAATTAACATTCACATTAATCTAGATTCAATAAATCTTGACTTGATAAATTTTGAACTACATGAATTCAAAGTTATTATAAATGAATTTATTTCTATTTAAGTATCTAGAAATTTAATTGGTATTTAAATTCATGTATTATCAATTAAGGATATGTTCGGTACAGCTTAAAATTCAATTAAAATTGAAAATATGGCCCTTATTGTGTCCCAACCGTCTAATAAAAGTCAACAATAACGGCTGATTTTTCAATTTTAATCCAATTTTAATCTCTACCGAACAAGCCCTAATTCTTATTTACCAAATGCAGTATAAAAATGTTTCTCATTTGTAATATTTCATCATTAAAAAAAAATTGAATCATAGTTGAGTTTTGAGAGTACAATTTTCTTCTTTTAAATTTTTATCCTAAATTTTATTTTCTTTAATTTATTTGAGACTCATCTAATCCTCCCAATAAATTGTTATCAAATATTACTTTTACAGTACTTATAAAATATGTCATAATAACGCACAATGCATGTTCAACTCTAAGTTGCTCTACACGGCCTTTTTTTTTTTTCCAGAAAGGAATCATATTAAGTTTTTTCTTGAGAATTTCAATCTCAACTAAAATATCACCAAATAACTTTGTAAATTAATATATCCCTCATTATTATTCCTCAATCAAAAATGAAAAATAAAAAATTCTTCTTTAATACAGTCAAATATTGTGATGTTTACATTACAAATAAACCACAATATTATAGATTAAGGAACGTGTCAAGCTAGGAATATGCTTTTTTACAATAGTAATTGTGAGCATCTCTCCTATGTTCTTATCATGCACAATTTGCTTACATGCTACCTTGGGCACATCTCTCTTTCTTAGTTTCACGTTGGCCTAATGATAATGAATGAAAGTAAGTCTTTAGTAAGCATTTATAAACAATTTTTTAGTGGTCACACTGAAATGTACGTACGGTGGAGGTTGGTTCCACATGCTCCTCGCTGTAATTGATTGATTTTATTAATTAAACACCCCAAAATCCACAAAATTTTGTATTCATTCTTCTTGTAAGCATATGGAAAAGTGAACCAAATCTTGAGAAGGGTTGCGCAATCTCTAACAATGAGAGGATAAGGGCACGGATGATGGGATGTGGTTGGACCCTATTACCAAAACACACATAAAAAGTGCTTGAAAGTCAGAGCAATTCATTGTGAGAGTTAATCAATTTGTACAT